AAATTTTCATGGAAAAATGTATGTTTATCTTTTTCCAACAATATATATGTTGATTTGTTCTAATTTTTTTATGTTAAAGTCTAATAAGTGAGTTCTTATAACCCTACAGATGAAACCAAACACGTTTCTTAATTAACACTTTTTTAAATATTGAGTTTGTGAATTCAAACTCTCTTATGGAATGTATAGTGAGTATGTGAATTACTACATACGTCTGATGTTTAATATAAGACCTAATTAATTAATTTGAGGATATTGAAAAAGCTAAGAAATTATCTAATCATAACATATGTTATATGATCTCTACAAAATACTTATTGTCTATCATTGGATTATATACTAGGCAAATCTGTTTGAATAAGAATGATAAATATAAATATTTTAAAATAAATTATTTAGCTTTTTAATCTCTCTAAATTAGTTAACTGAATCTTATATTAAGGACGAGAGGTAGTATATATAACAAAAGAAATGTTTCAGTTAATATTAATAAATAGAAAAAGGGAAATTAGCGATACTTTGTTTTAATGAGATAAAGACTCCTAAATAGCAAAGTGGGAAGATTTAATGAAGTTGCCTAATTTTGATTTTCTGACAAATCAATGAATAAGGATTCAAAATTATAGACTTGTATGGTCGGTCCAGATTGAAATTAAAATTGAGAGAATAAATTATATGAAACTGTCTTTCAATTGAAAAGACTGGGTCAACATTATTTTAGTCATATATGTTATAGAATTTCATAATTTCAATACTGAATATGCATCTTGACTAAAGGATTAGCATGCGAATAAAATCAAGGATAGTTATTTTCTTTTTGGTGTGAATCCCATATTATAATCAACTTGCCTCAGAATGAACCATTTGTTCCAGTTCCCTTGACTCATGGCTTGTTTGAAATGACTTATAAACAGTTGTTCAATTGTGATTTACAGAATACGATATAAGTATATAAGATAAATTTTATCTCAACTTATATGAAACGTGCTTATAAATATTTTTAATCCCCAATCCAAACAGGCCCTTAGCCTTTAGGCATGCTTTTTAAGTTGCTTCATATGAAATGTCATGGGAAGCTTCTTCATCTAAACAGTAGTGTTCTTAGTTTGACCAATTTTTATATATTTAATATCCATTGCTTATAAAGAAGAGATGGAGTTTCTATTATTTGAAATTAAAAATTGAAATGTGCAAATAAATCCCTTATATTAAATTTTACCCTTTTTAATTAGTTGTTAACTTGTTAACGTCACCCAGTCGGACCTACGGAGTAGAATTGATCTTGTTTGACATTACTTGAGTCTGAAAACATAGATAGATGCTCGTTTTTAAAAACAAGTAACCTTTCTAATAAAAATAAAAAAAACTTAGATATTTAAATTTTATATAGTTTATATGTTAGTTTTTGGACAAAATTTAAGTCAAGTAAATTATGATCCATTATGTCTCAATTTAACTAATTACACTTGTTATTATGCTCTTGTTGGCTGTTAATTAAAATGCAAATATGCACTTATAAACTTTTTGTATGAGCTCTTTTAATGTAAATTATGGTTTATAAATTTCGACATGCACACTTATTATTTTGTTATTATTAGTTATTGAAATATGCATGTGCACTTACAAATTTATATAAGAAATACAAATATTTGTTATTTTGCTATTGTCAAAATTATTAAAATTTGTAAATTCATATATAAATTTGACCTAATAAATATAAGTAACTTGATGTAAGTGGGTTTTTTACTTTTAATCAAACCAAGACGTGTACTTTTTTTAACCATAATTTTACCCTCTAACAAACTATTGACAAAAATATTTTAACTATTTGAAAATTGGTTTATATTAATTTAACTGATAGCAGATAAATTGAGTGTATATAACATCAAGTGGCCAAGTCTTTTCCAACACAAATTGAGATGTCTTTAACAAATGTTAAATATACTACCTCCGATCCTAATTATAAGAGCCAATTAACTAATTTGAGGAGATTAAGGAAGTAAGTTGAGTTAGTTATTTGTCCTAAATAGGTATTGTCTTTCCTAAAATATCCTTGCTAATCAAGTATATTGACTAGAACTATCATTGTTATAAGGGCTACTTTAGAAAAAATATATAAATATAAGAGACAAAGTGGATTGGGGTCTTATATTTAGGATCAAAATAAAAGTCAAACGGAGTCTTTTATTAAGGACTGGAGGTAGTAGCAATGTTATTGCATTTTTTCAAAAAAAAAAAAATTTAGTGAAGAAAATCATTGTTCATAGTTTTATGGAAGTTAGGTTGATTACTTCTCAAATATTCATTTCTATACAATTTATTCAAAGTTAACATTCAATCAAGTCTTATAATTTTGATAATATAACAATTAGCACTTTGAAAGTTGACCAACGCGAATGTTACATATACATATTCATTGTGAAAATTCTATGCATCCCTCTAGCAAAAGAAAATTCTATGCATTTACACCAAGTTAAACAAAATTATAGAAAATAATGCTATTGGTAAACTTATGGCGGCATAAATGCGATTTACTTGATAAACTAAGAAGTTTTTAAGTTTATTTTCTCCTTATAAGCATTGTTATCAAACTCTCGATTTGATTCTTCAAGTTTAACGTTTTTACACTTTCAGCTCATAAAATCATGTCGACTCACTCTTAAACTTGTGCTAGCAGTAAATTCAGTTGAATTTGTGAGTTTATTTACTGATTTTACATTTTTCAACTTGCAAAATTGTATCAACTTGCTTCTAAATTTATGTTAAATTTTTTAATTTAGTTATATTTAGCAAGGTACTAAAACCTGGACTGGTCACTAAACTAATCAAGGCAGCGAGTCAAGGATCACTAGTTAGATTGTGGTTAAATTGTAGTCAAACTGGTAATAATTAAAATAATTTGTTTATAAATTCTCCAGGCAGATGGAGAAATATATTTTTAAATAAATGGTAATTATTTTAGATGAAAACCAAAATTCAAATAATAATAAAAGGAAAAATTAATCTTTTAACACTTTAACTTTTAATTCATTTATAACTTAATCCATCAAATATGACTCGGTGCGAATCAATCCCGAAACTTTTTACTTACTTAAAAATTGGTTCTTTTTTCTTTCTTTTTCTTTTAGAGAATAATCCTTATCCGTCCAACTCATATTTAAGTCATCCTATCAAGTGCTTTTGTGGCTACCAAGTCACTATTCCCACCATCTTCAATCTCCCTGCCGCCTCTCACTGGCTCACTCGCTAGTGTTGACAAGAATCCTTTCAATTCCACTCTGGCCAACGGGTTCGGAACCGGACGGTCTGGTCCAAGTTTTAGAACTATGATATTTAGTGACTTTATGTGTAAATTTCATAGAAAATTTATTCGTTTAAGATGATAAATTATGAATGTTGATATATTGAATTTCAATTATTTGGATTTAAAACATATTTAAATAAAATTATTGTCAGTTTTTTATATTTTAATTATTTAATTACATATTTTAATACTTTTTATTGATAAAAGTAAACTTTTACAAGTTTACAATCCGAGTTAAAAAAACTCTGACAAGTTTGAAACTCAAAAATTTGACAAATTTGTTCGCAAAAAATAAAAAATTATTTTAATATTTTTAATTAAAAAAATCAGCACTTCAAAATAAGGAAAGCAGTTAGCAATCTTTTTAACCTTATTAGTATATATAAGGTGTGGAACGACGCAAGGAGCTAGCCTTATAGTCATCTCACCTTATTTAATCTTTTCTAATCTAATGACTAATCGAATAAGGAAAGCAATTAACATTCTTATCATATCGTCAATTAGTCAGACTAACCTGTGAAGTTATAAACTACAGTACTTTGCATACGCGTCTTGTTTGACTTTATTTGACTTTGAAAGCATTTGCTCTTTCTACAAACAAATAATCTTCCTTCAGAAATTGAGATTTTTTTTCCACAAAATTTAATTATACCAGGCTTGCTCCATTTTTTTTCCAAACATTTTTAATGTTAGAATATCATCCCTGTTTACAGTCTTATGGAAGTTGATGACTTTCAATTAAACAAAAACGGGCCAAAATTGCGTCTTTGATCCTCTAACTATATATTACCTCCGGTTCTTAATATAAAAGTTCGTTTGATTTTTATTTGGTCCTAAGTATAAGATTCCAATCTACTTTTTTTTTTTTTCATATTTGTTCTTTTTTTTTAAAAGTATTCCTTGTAACAATAATAGTTCTAGCAAATATACTTAAATAGCAAGGGTATTTTAGAAAGAACAACACATATTTATTACAAATAACTAACTTAACTAATTTCTTTAATCTACTCGAATTAGGTGTGGAACCACGCAAAGAGCTAGCCTTGTGGTCATCTCACCTTATTTAATCTTTTCTAATCTAATGACTAATCGAATAAGGAAAGCAATTAGCAATCTTATTATACCGTCAATTAGTCAGACTAACCTGTGAAGTTATAAATTACAGTACTTTGCATACGCGTCTTGTTTGACTTTATTTGACTTTGAATGCATTTGCTCATTCTATAAACAACAAATCTTCCTTCAGAAATTGAGATTTTTTTCCACAAAATTTAATCATACCAGGATTGTTTCATTTTTTCCAAACATTTTTAGTGTTAGAATATCATCCCTGTTTACAGTCTTATGGAAGTTGATGACTTTCAATTAAACAAAAACGGGCCAAAATTGCATCCTTGATCCTCTAACTGCATATCTATAATTTTATATAGTGATTTAGTTTGGTCTCCTAATTGTCTTATTTGCAATTACCGTTTCTAAAAAATATCAGGTACGCAATTAACAATTTGGTCAAAATAAGTATGCAGTTAACCAAAACAAAACAAAACAAAACGTATCTTCATTTATCTCTCTCACTCTGAACATTCCAAGAAATTTACAAATAAAATTAAAGGGTCTCCTCTTGCATATTGCCTTCTTAAGTATTTTCCATGGATTGGACAAATAATGTAGCAGCCAGCAATATTATATCATTAAAGTACAATGTTGAGCTGTAAAATATTGTGTATATATACATATATAAAATAATAATGAAGCAACTATGCCAAACAAGTTGCATCTAGAAGCTTTGAAAATGCCAATAAAGGAACTCTCATCTCCTATATATACCCGCAGAAATATGAATGAAAAATCCACCAATAATCGAAGATTGCTTACTCGCTGTTAATTCCTCATGTTCTCTGCATAATCCAGCTCGACGGTTTATCATCATTTGATTCAGACGCGCGCACACAAACACACATATATTGAACTACCAACAATCTTAGAATGATTGATGATATGGCTATTTCATCAATCCTACATGTTCTTCTGTTGTCTCTGTGTTTCCGGTATTCTTCATCTTCATCATCAACTCTTAGCAGCGGCTTCTCCCTTTCCGTGGAGAAACCAGAAGATGTTCTTATCTCACCGAATGGAACCTTCACGGCTGGATTCCATGTCATTGGTGAAAACGCTTATGTCTTGGCGATCTGGTTCACTCGACTACCTCAATCTTCCCCAAACTCGAATGTAGTTTGGATTGCCAGTCGTGACCAACCTGTCAACGGAAAACGGTCATCTCTTTCCCTCCTCAGAGCAGGAAACCTCATCCTCTCCGATGCTGGACAGAAGAACGTATGGTCAAGTAACACCAACTCGTCGTGGCCGACGCGATTGGCTCTCAACGACAATGGAAATCTAGTACTCTACGAGCTTCATTCGGAAGAGACAAATATTCTATGGCAGAGCTTTGATTTCCCAACAGACACTTTGCTTCCTGGCCAACAACTTAAGAATGACACACAACTTGTCGCAGCGAGAAGTGACACCAACGTTTCCTCTGGCTTCTACAAGCTCTTCTTCGACGACAGCAATGTTCTTCGCCTTCTCTATCACAGGCTTGACGTTTCCAGTGTGTATTGGCCAGCGCCATGGATGTTGAGTTTTGAAGCTGGAAGGAGCACAGAAAATAGTAGTAGACTCGCTGTGTTAGATTCTCTTGGGAGTTTCATTTCAACAGATAACTTCAAATTTACAACTTCTGATTATGAGATATCGACCCAAAGAAGATTGAAAATCGATCCTGATGGCAGCCTTCGAGTGTACAGCTTACAGAAGAATAATCAATGGTACGTCTCGTGGCAAGCTATAGCTGATGCCTGCCATGTTCATGGAATATGTGGAGTCAATAGTATGTGCAAGTACGATCCTAGCCATGGAAGGAAATGCTCGTGTCTTCCAGGGTACAGAATCAAGAACCATAGCGATTGGTCTTATGGGTGTGAACCCAAATTTGAATTCTCATGTGGTCAAAATTTCTTGAAATTGCCCGGTGTTGAGTTCTATGGAAATGACTATGTCTATAAGCTAAACATCAGTTTCAAGAACTGCAAGAATTTGTGCTTACATGATTGTGAGTGCAGGTTGTTTCAGTACACATTCGGAGAGGATATGGGCCAATTTAGGTGCTACATCAAAAGAATTCTGATCAACGGTCATAATTCACCAAGCTTTCGAGGAACAACCTACTTAAGACTACCTCAAACCAATGAAGGTTCATTCCTTGAAGAAGAAGAATCTGCCCGTGATGATGGTGATGTTTGCTTCGTAAAGTTTGAAGGAGCCTCACAAAATGTCAGCAGTTTTGTCAAGTTTCTTCTTTGGTTTTCCGTTGCTGTTGGGGTGCTTGAAGTCCTCTGTATTAGTCTAATTTGGTGTTCTTTGATTAGACCCAAAAAGAGCTCTGATTCAAATCCACAAGTCTACAATTTTCTTTCTCCTTTCCGGTTCAGAAAATTTACTTACTCTGAGCTAAAACAAGCAACCAAAGGGTTCAAAGAAGAAATCGGAAGAGGAGCAGGTGGAATAGTGTACAAAGGAGTATTATCAGATCAACGAGTTGCTGCAATAAAGAAGCTGAATGGTGACAACACAGGAGGAGGCAAACAAGAAGAAGGAGAATTTATGGCTGAAGTGAGCATAATCGGTAGACTTAACCACATGAACTTGATCGAAATGTGGGGCTACTGTGCTGAAGGAAAGCAAAGGCTGTTGGTGTACGAGTACATGGAAAAGGGTTCTTTAGCAGAAAATCTCAGATCAAACACTTTGGATTGGACCAAAAGATACAACATTGCTCTTGGAACAGCAAGAGTCCTAGCATACTTGCACGAAGAATGTTTGGAGTGGATTCTGCATTGCGACATAAAACCGCATAATATTCTTCTGGACTCAAATTACGAACCCAAGGTAGCAGATTTTGGTTTATCTAAGCTTAAAAATCGGAATGACCAAAACACTCAAAGCTTCTCAATGATCAGAGGAACGAGGGGCTATATGGCACCAGAGTGGGTTTTCAATCTGCCAATAACATCAAAGGTGGATGTGTATAGCTACGGGATCGTTATATTGGAAATGATAACAGGAAGGAGTCCGATGATGATGGGAAATCAGAGTGATGAAGGCGAAGAGGCTCAACATGTGAGGCTTGTGACGTGGGTGAGAGAGAAGAAGAAGAACAACAACAAAACGACGTCGGAGGAAGTGTCTTCGTGGGTGAAGCAAATAATTGATCCCGCCTTGATATCAGAGTTCGAGGTTGAGAAGCAGAAGATAGAAACTTTGGCAAATGTGGCTTTGAGGTGCGTGAAGGAAGACAAAGATGAAAGGCCCACCATGAGCCAAGTTGTAGAAATGCTTCAGAGCCAAGAAGATGACTATGCTGCTGAATTAATCATGGCGGCTTAGAATACCCAAAAGTTGTCTATCTTCTTTGCAAGTGCATTCTTCAAAAAGTCAAGTTGTAGGAATATTGAAATAAAATGATGGGGACCTTGGAACTAGATGTTAAACATGTCAAATTTCCAAGTATATTATCCTTTTCTAATATTATAATTAAAGTGAAAAGTTATTCAAAAGGAATCTTGCATGTCTAATATATGGCCCAAGTATTCGAATTTTGGGAAGTTGGAAACAAAGAAACCAGGGGTTATTAATTCAATTTGTATTAATTGGGACGCGTTTGTTTATAGATGTTTTTACATTTTTTTCCCGCTTTAATTTATTAGAGCTTGATAATGTTTAAGAAAATACCTAAATCACTGATTTAGTGTTCATTTACTAACTTTTATCATTTTTATTAGGGCTAATATTATTGATAATTCTTATAGTTTGATGAAATTTTGGTTTAAGTTAACATGCAAATTTGTCATAAAAGTTTTCATTTAGCAGCCTTAGGCATCCAAAAGTTTTTTTTTTGATGTAAATTTGCTTTAAAAGTCTAAAATCATAAAAATATTACCCCATATTATTTTTAAAAAAAAACTAACATTGATCATTAAAATAGTGACATTAATTATTAACATTTTTAACAGTAGTGGATAACAACATTGTTATAATTTTAAATTTTTTAGACAAATTTGCACTAAAACAAATACTTCTGGGTACCTAACGCTCTTAAGTAAAAACTTTCGAGATAAATTTATTCCTTAATCCTTTGGTTTTAATTTCTATGGTTTCAAGTTGTTTGTTTTAGTCCTTATAGTTTTATTATTTTTTAATCTCAGTTTATTGAATAGTCTCGCCACTTCTATTGAGTTTTGATTTTCATCCCTAGATTGAAACTCAAACCAAGCTCACGGGGGGCCAACATCAAAACAAGATCAAATGATAACAACAATATTAGCTCCTTTTATTAATTTTTATTAATATTTTTTCCTAGGCGTTGGAGATATCCTCATAATAAACGCAATCATATTTAAGACTCTATTTAACAGTAAACGTGAATGTTTCTTCTAAAATTGGAAATAACATTAAAATTCTTTTTAAAGAAAAAGGATTTTATTATGGAAGAAAACACGATTTCAGTCTACAAAATAACAAAGGCAAACCCCCCGCCCCAAAAGGAAAAAAAAAAAAAAAAGCACCCCAAACATGCATGACTACGTAGAAACTAGCTAATTAAGCATCTTCATGGCTTTGAAGCATCTCAACAACTTGGCTCATGCTGGGCCTCACATCTTTGTCTTCTTCCACGCACTTCAAAGCCACACTTGCCAAAGTTTCCATCTTCTTTTTCTCAACCTCAAACTCCGATCCAATGGCTGCGTCAATTATTTGCTCCACCCAACAAGACGATGACGGCGACCCTTCCTCCTCCGACGTCGTTGTCTTCCTCTTCTCTCTCACCCACGTCACAAGCCTCTCATTATGTGCTTCTTCTCCTTCATCACTCTGACCTCCCATCATCGTCGGACTCCTTCCTGTTATCATCTCCAGCACAACAATCCCAAAGCTATACACATCCACCTTTGATGTTATTGGCAAATTAAAAACCCATTCAGGTGCCATGTATCCTCTCGTTCCTCTTACCATTGAGAAGTTTTGAGTGTTTTGGTCACTTCTATTTAGAAGCTTAGATAAGCCAAAATCTGCTACCTTGGGTTGGTAATTTGAATCCAAAAGAATATTCTGAGGCTTTATATCACAATGTAGAATCCACTCCAAGCATTCTTCGTGTAAGTATGCTAGAACCCTTGCTGTTCCGAGAGCAATGTTGTATCTTCTGGTCCAATCCAAGGTGTTTGATTTGAGATTTTCTGCTAAAGAACCTTTCTCCAAGTATTCGTAAACCAACAGCCTGTACTTTCCCTCAGCACAATACCCCCACATTTCAATCAAGTTCATGTGGTTTAGCTTACCAATAATGCTCACTTCAGCTAGGAATTCTGCTTCATCTCGTTTGGCTCCAATGTTGTCATTATGAAGCTTCTTTATTGCAGCAATTCGCTGATCTGGCAATACTCCTTTGTACACAATTCCACCAGCTCCTCTTCCAATTTCTTCCGTGAACCCTTTTGTTGCTTGTTTTAGCTCAGAGTAAGTGTATCTTCTGAACCCAAAAGGTGAAAGAAAATTGTACCCTTGTTGATTTCCATCAGATTTTTGCTTGGTTCTTATCAAAGAAAACCAAGTTATAGAAATGAAGAGGACTTCAAACACCCCAATTGCAACAGAAAACCAAAGAAAGAACTTCAAAAAACTGCTGACATGTCTCTCGGCATAGGATCTATCCAGCTTCACTGAACAAACATGACCATCATCTTGAGCAAATTCTTCATCTGCAAAGAACGAAACATTGTTTCTTTTGGCTTCAGGAAGTCTCAGGTAGGTTGTTCCTCTAAAGTCTGGTGATCGACGACCATTGAGAAGAACTCTTTTCGTATAGCACTGAAATAAGCCGTCATTGTTAAGTGAGTACTGAAATGCCCTGCACTCACAATCTTGTAAGCATTCATTCTCACAATCACTATAACTGATGTTTTTCTTGTAAATAAAGTCATACCCATATAGCTCAACACCTGGCAATTTGAAGAAAGCAGTCTCATTCTTATCGCATGAGAGTTTAAATGTGGGTTCACACCCGTAAGACCAATCGCTATGGTTCTTCACTCTATATCCAGGAAGACACGAACACTTCCTTCCTTCTATAGGATCATACACACACGTGCTGTTAGCACCACAAAGTCCATGAACAATACAGGGATTAGATATGGCTTGCCACGACACATACCAGGGATCATTCTTCCGTCGACTGTACACTCGAATGTTTCCGTCAGAATCTAGTTTCAATATTCTTTGCATCACAACCCCATAATCAGAAGTCGTAAATCCATAATTATCTGTTGAATTGAAAGTTCCAATGGAATCTAACACTGCGATTCTGCTACTATTGTATGTGGTCCTTCCTGCATCCCAACTTACTAGCCATTGGACTGGCCAGTATTTGCTGGAGACATCAAGGCCATCGTACAAAAGGCTGAGGATGTTGTCATCATTGAATGAAAGCTGGTAGAAGCCAGAGGAATGGTTGGTGAGGCTTCTATCAGAGACAAGCTTTGTGTATCTTGTGAGTTGTTGTCCAGGAAGTAGAGTGTCGGTCGGGAAATCGAAGCTCTGCCATAGAATTTCGCTTTGTTGAGGATGGAGCTCGTAAAGTACTAGATTCCCTTTATCGGTAAGATTCAGTTGCGTCAACCAAGGCAAAGATGAGGTAGTGTCAGTGGACCACACGTTGAACTGTCCGGCATCAGAGAGGACAAGGTTTCCGGTTTTATGGAGGCGAAGTGATGACCGTTTTCCGTTGACAGGTTGGTCACGGTTAGCCGTCCAAACGACGGTGGGTTTTCGAGTGAACCAAACGGAGAATACATAGGCGTTTTCACCAACGGCGTAGAAGCCGGCAGAGAAGACGCCGTTCGGTGAGAGAATAACATCTTCTGGTTTCTCAACTGAGAGGGAGAAACCACTGTTAAGTGATGGTGATGAAGATGAACAACATTGAAAAGACAGAGACAAGAGGAGAAGAACGTGTAGGATTGATGAAACAGCCATATGAATACGCATGAGCGAAGGAGAAATGGGCTTCTCATACACACACACACATATATAAATGAAGATGGGAATTGCTAGGAAATAGTCGTTGATTGGCAGACTTATTGTTTATTTAGGCTGCTGGAAATTGAACATCAGTCCTTAGACTTCAAAATTCACAGCTTTCGCAGAACGTTCTTCAGTTTAGGACCACACGTCTGTTCCAATAATCCATCAAGTCAGGTACGTAAAGTTATTTAGATTTCCTTACATAAAAATTCAGATATTTATTTATTAAAAAACTCCGATACTTAATATCTATTGAAGAGCCCAGAAAACTGTTTTGACGTAGAGCACATTCACTATGTAAGTTTCATCAGAAGCTAGTTACCTGGTTTGTTTTTTCCGGTGAATGAAAAAGCTCCGTGGTTTACTATGCACTATGTTTTCAAATACTACTTTCTATCCTAATTTACACTACAAACTAGCCCTAATAATTAAGATTAGAGGTAATAATATACTACCTCTTGTGTTTAATATAAGAACTTATTTGACTTTTATTTTGATCCTAAATAAATATAAGATCCTAATCTACTTTGTCTCTCATATTTATCTATTTTTTTCAAGATAGTCATTGTAATAATGGTAGTTCTAGCTAATACACTTGATTAGCAAGGATATTTTAGAAAAGACAACATCTATTTTTTACAAATAACTGACTTAACTAGTTTTTTTAATTTACTCAAATTAGTTAACTACTTCTTACATTAAGGATCGGACGTAGTATATATTACCTTCAGTTCTTGATATAAAACATTTTTTGACTTTTATTTTTATCCTAAATATAAGACTCCCAATTCACTTTGTCTCTCATTTTTATTCATTTTTTTAAGGTAGTCTTTCTAATAATATAGTTCTAGCCAATACATTTGATTAGCAAGGATATTTTAGGAAATACAACACCTATTTATAACAAATAACTAACTTATTTTCTTAATCTATTCAAATTAATTAACTAGCTCTTATATTTAGGATCAGACATAGTACTTATTAACATTTTGTTATCTCATATTTGGGATAACATTGAAAAACTCTTTCCCCGAACATTCACAGAAGCAATTGGTGGAGTGGAAGAAATTTTGAAAGAGTTGACATTGAATAGGTCATAGGCTTCGAGAAGAGAAATGAGGATATGTATGACAATATTGAGAGATCCAAATAACGGTAATAGTGCTAATTGATGGTAGGGGAAGTGGCGGTGGTAGTGGTCCAGATAGTGGTGATATGATATTGGTAACAGTATGATAGTGGTGGCAGCCATAATAGACTAGAAATATATATTATAAATCCTTGACCATAAGTCATACTGAGCTAGCCAGCAATAATAAAGATTAATTGGGTTTTAACAAGAAGAAAATGATTAGCTTAGTCGTCCAAAACAAAACTAATTGGTTGCTTCTGTATTTCTCTCTGTGTCTTAATATATACACAAAGAGAGAGCATACATATAAAGAAGGAAATTCTCAATTGCCTCAAACTCATGAATGATG